ATCTTTTCAGGCAACTAAAGTCCAAATCTAATAAGCAACAAATGCGTGCAAATGCTAACAAAAAACAAAACTGGAGAAGGCTCATAGATATTCCATCCTTAAAACCATGGTTAACTAAATCTTATTTTGACTACTACGAAAAGAAACCCAGAATTTCTATCTTTGTGAACTTACTTAGTTTTAAGTTCTCTAGGCCTGTTTACTTCTAAAGTGAGTATAACAGTCAATCCAATGTCAGAACTACCTTGGTGTGTAATGCAAAGGCATAGGCCTTGTTCTAAAGTCGTATCTTCAAATTCTATGACTGTTATGGCTATGATTTTTCCACTTCTACAATAACTGGGTTTATTAGGAATACAACTAGACAGGTCTAAATGTAGTTTTTTTTAATATTACAAACATTTAAATCAAGCAGATAATAAGCACTTGACACATCACCAAGGAATTAGGTGATAGTATCCAACTTCTTTAGAGCACTGTTTAATACAAACAGTACCATTCTACTGAACAGCAGATCAGAATGACAAAGGGCTTTTTTGTTGTAGCTGTTCCAGATGCTTTGATGGCAAAGCCAAGGTCAAGCTTATGTATCACTTATTACTAAAATGCTACAAGTTTACACTACATGTATACCTTAAAAATGTATTATGAGGGGCTGGGACGATGGCTCAGTGGAAGAGTGCTTGCCTTGCAGGCATGAAGCCCTGGGTTCGATTCCCCAGCACCACATAAGCAGAAAAAGCCAGAAGTAGCATTATGGCTCAAGTGGTAGAGCATTAGCCTTGAGCTGAAGAGCTGAGGGACAGCGCGCAGGCCCAGAGTTCAGGCCCCACGAGTGACAGAAAAAAAATAATAATAATGTATTATTATGTCAAATATACTATCTACACAGCACTCAACTATATTCAAAGAGATTTCAAATTCACTAGACCCCTAAGAGTGGAGAACTAAGAAAACAGAAAAAGAATGAAACTCAAGGCACGCTTATTTTTCTCTTCCAAAATTTAACTCTTTCCAATTGACCTACATAATTAGCAACCCAATTACTATGGAATTTGTCAAATTCTATTCAAAACAATGTAGATTTAAAGTACAAACCATGAAGAATAAGAATTTTCTTCCACTAAACTCACTTCTCACCAATCAAAATTTAACAGGTTTTTCTCCTACTACAGTGAATGTCTTTTCTAAAAATTGTGATAAAATTTTGCTGACATAAATTACATTAGAGAAATCACAATATACTAGCTTCTTATGTCTTTGAAAGTAAAACTTATGCCTCAGTATCAATATTAAATAGGCAGCAACACAAGCTTTCAACCTGCTGGCAGAAAGGCTCTTCACTTTCTCTGTCACATCTTGTCCTTACATTCTAAAATACTTTTGTGGATTTGAATCTGTTGATTAATAATAATGAGATTAATGGGTCAGACATATCTGAAAGATGAACAATAGCTTTTAGAACATTGCATAAGGCTGTAACAAGTTTAATTATGAATGTTTTCCCACTACATAAAATTTTCATTATGCAAGTTAACAAGACTACACACAACAGATAAATCTTCTGGAATATGATTGTCTACCACCAAAATTAAAACCAGATCAAACTGTAAAACTTTAAAAGTTTATACAAAAGAACAGTAACAAACCAGGAGCCTTTAAGGGAAGCTGGTAAGGAGACTCCTCACAAGGTACAGCATCTTTTATAAAGCATTAAAAGCATCTGCCTTCTTTTGTATGACCTGTCATATTACCATTCTTTGAGGCAAGTAGAGCAATTTAAGCTTTTCTTTAGCTGATGGACTGGATGTCACACAATCATCGTGACAATATAAAGCTTTGATGTGAATTTCATTTATGATCACAGTATTTGGGGGAAATCAAGGTAAAAAATACTTGGCTGTGTAGCTATGGGTGGCTTGTTTTGGGACAGATAAAAAGGGTGCCTTCTATTTCTTTGATTTTTATGAGTACAATGCATGTTGATCAATGTCACACCTCTCTGGGAAAAAACGCCAGGCACCAATGGCTCACACCTGTAATCCTAGCTACTCAGAAGGCTGAGATCTGAGGATCATGGTTTGAAGCCAGCCTAAGAAAAATAATCCCCGTTAAGACTCATCACCAAATAACCACTCAAAAAACAGAAGTGCAGCTGTGGCTCAAAGAGGTAGAGTGCTAGCCTGGAGCAAAAGAGCTCAGGGACACATGGTTTCCCTTATTTGCAATATCTAGTATATGTCTGAGTCAAGCAGAAAAGGTCAGATAAGGTGATGTTAGGGAAATGAACCCTAAGATATGTATTCAAATGTTTTTTTTTTCTTTCATGTGATTGTTTCTAACACATTTATAAGATTATTTCTTTGTTGCTTTGTATGTCCCTCCCCCACAGTATAACCCCTGCTTTCACTGTATTTGATGTGGGTATAATTTGTGGAGGGGAAGGGGAAAAACAAATCGTTTAAATAGGGATACAAGCGGACCCATTGCAACAATGAGATGTACAAGTCGCTATGTCAAAAACGAACTTTACAACTTTTGGGGGGGGCAAGGAGGATTGGGTGGGGGGCAGTGGAGGATGGAAAGGGATGAGAAGGGGAAACAAAGGAGGAGGCTACAATGCTTGATAAGAAATGTACTCATTATCTTGCCCATGTAATTGTAACCCCTCTGTATTTTCACAATAAAAAAATAAAAAAAAATAGGGGGCTGGGAAGGTGGCTCAGTGGTAGAGCACTTGCCTTGCATGCTCGAGGCCCTAGGTTCGATTCCTCAGCACCACATAAGAAAAAAGCTGGAAGTGGTGCTGTGGCTCAAGTGGTAGAGCGCTAGCCTTGGGCTGAAGAGCTGAGGGACAGCACCCAGGCCTAGAGTTCAGGCCCCTCGACCGGACCCAAAAAAAATAAATAAAAATAAAAAAATAAAAACAAGAGTTCAGGGACAGCACCCAGGCCAAGTTTTAGCCTCATGATTGGCAAAAAAAAAAAAAAAAAACACACACCAATTTTGGACCAGGTATCGAGTAGAAACAAGATGGCTGTCATACAGAATGCGTATTTTGTCAAAAGAGAAGTAGAAGTTTATACATTAGACACAACTTTCAAGCAGTGCCAAATAGTTTGTAGGGTTTTTTTTGGTCAATCATGGGGCTTCAACTCTGGGCCTAAGCACTGTCCCTGAGTCCTTCAGCTTAAGGTGCGAGTGCTCTACCGCTTGAGCCACAGCGCCACTTCCGGTTTTCTAGTGGTTTATTGGAGATAAGAGTCTCACGGACTTTCCTGCCTGGGCTGACTTTGAACTAGGATCCTCAGATCTCAGCTTCCTGAGTGGCTAGGATTGCAGGCGTGATCCATCGGCGCCCAGCAGAGTTTGTACTTTTAATCAGCTGTATGTTGACTTTAAATTTATTCTTTTTTGGGGGGGGGGGGGTTCCGGTCGTGGGACCTTAACTCTGGGCCTGGGTGCTGTCCCTCAGCTCTTCAGCTCAAGGCTAGCGCTCTACCACTTGAGCCACAGCGCTACTTCCGGCTTTTTTCTTTTTGCTTATGTGGTGCTGAGGAATCGAACCCAGGGTCTCATGCATGCAAGGCAAGCGCTCTACCACTAAGCCACCTTCCCAGCCCCTAAAATTATTTTCTCAATAGTGTTTATAACACCTCAGAGTATCTCTACCTTTTCTTGCCAGATATTCCTACTTCTCAAAAATACCCAAAAGTGGGCTGGGAATGTGGATTAGTGGTAGAGTGCTTGCCTAGCATGCATGAAGCCCTAGGTTCGATTCCTAAGTACCACATAAGCAGAAAAGGCTGGAAATGGTGCTGCGGCTCAAGTGATAGAACACTAGCCTTGAGCACAGAGAGGCTCAGAGACAGTGCCTAGACCCTGAGTTCAAGCCCCAGGACTGGCTTGAATAAAAATAAAAATAAATCCCAAAAGTGACACAGCAAGAGTACAATATTAATTTGAATTTTTATTATTTTTAATACATATATTTCACAAACAGGAACCTTCTAACACCACACAATTCCATAACCAAATGCTTTGATTTTATCAACATTCTTCAGCTATTTACACTGTCATCCCTCAACAAAAGTGCAATCAAAGACATCTTGACAAATCTTTACAGACAGCGATATATTCTTCAGCTGGTTTTAACAATGTCCACTTGTTATACCTTCTTTCAATCACCTGAAAGAATAATGAAGTCAACAAGACATAGAGATAAACTGGGTTGGGCAGCATCCTATTGAGAAGCCAACTCTCTTCCTCAACCTCCAACTAAAATTATCAACAGCTGCCACCAGAAACTAAATAAGAAAGTAAACTGAGTTAGCAACCTGGGCACAGCAGAGCAGATTGTATAGTAAGCATTGGTCTGGAAGGACTAAGTGAAAGATTTCAGCAAGTTAGTTTTGATTGGCTTATGTTATGCTTTAGTCTTAATTTTTGTGTTTGAACACCTAATCGTATTCTTTCTTGATGAGTTAATTTTCCCCAAAGAGATATCAAAATCCCTTTTATTTAGAAAATAGACTTCTACAAAAATAACTGTAAATATAAAGGGCATTTGAGGAGCTCCTTGTATAATGGGACAATTCAGTGACCTCTCCATTTCATGGCACGATGTGTATCTTTTGAAGTAAAAACCCAGTATATAACCAGAAAAAAGTACAGCTGAGATGGCCCGTAGGAAAAATAATCAGAAATGGTCTCTTCTCTAAACTAAAGCACATACTTTTATTTGTTCAAGGTATGGAGCTCTTAAAAATAATGATTAAAAATATTAGAGCAGGGCTGGGAAGATGGCTCAGTGGTAGAGCGCTTGCCTTGCATGCCTGAGGCCCTGGGTTCGATTCCTCAGCACCACATAAGCAAAATGAAAAAAGCCGGAAGTGGCGTTGTGGCTCAAGTGGTAGAGCACTAGCCTTGAGCTGAAGAGCTGAGGGACAGCGCCCAGGCCCAGAGTTCAGGCCCCACAACCAGACCCCCCCCCATAAAAAATTAGAGCAGATGAAAGAATACTTTGAAATTATTAGTCACTCTAAGACTGTGGTATGTTATTGAACATTATTCATCAGAGAAAACAAATTGGTTCTTGGGTGATTAATACCCTTTAATATCCTAACTACAATAAAAAGAATGATCTTTCTTGACATATTCCAGTTCTGATCAAGGTGCTCAGGGCAAGCTTGAAAGCATTAAGATCAGCAGATTTCTAAAATAAGATTTATCCTTAGAATGTTGCATACTCAATTGTATTTTATTCTCAAATCAGCCAAATTTCCCCTTTCAGACAAAAATGTAATGTCTTAAAGGCACAGGATACTGAGTATGGTACTCAGTCTTCTCTCTTTTTATATATAACTATAGATCTGTTTCTATAGAGTCCCCACTTTATCATCAAAACAACATCCAAAAGTTTTATCCAATTATACTGAAAGCCCATCATAGTTACTGTTCAGAGGACAGAAAACAATTTAGGAGAAAACATAGAATACAACATACAGTTAACCCAAAGGAATTTTTTTGTTTAATAAACTTACTGAATGTAATGATAGGTCAACTTTAAGCTCTGAACAACAAAAAAGCAGGTTTCACTAGAAAAATATAGGTGGTTTAAAGAACATTAAAAATATTTTACCATTTTAAAATCAGAAATAAAATTCAAATAGTTCTCTAAAGAGAAACTTACCAATCTTATACTTAGTGTATAAGAGAATCAGTAGGGAAATAGTTCACTCACAATTACAGTTCAAGGGCTGTATCTTGTAGTTGTATCAAGTACTGTCTGACCAGTGATGATTTTCTGCTTCTCATAGACATTGTGAGCATTTCTTCCCACTATTAACTAAAATTCACTTGCAATAATTGTTTTGAAAGAAACAATGGGGTGGTGGTATAAGCAAAATGAGTAATATAAAATATTCACATAAACCCCAAATCTGTCTATTCATCAGACTATTTTAGGATTCTTTTAGCATATATAAATATACTGGTAGTTATCATATTTATGAGAAATCATAGTGCAATTCCAATTCTACAAGAGGATAGGGCATTAGTGTACTTAAGTCACTAAGCTCTAATGAACAGAAGACTGTATTTTGAAATAATAATCTGACTAATCAAGCTCTATACATGACCACCTTCCCATCAACAGTTAAGGTATCGTGAGGATTCTCAGAATGACATATACTTTTTGCATTTCAACCAGTAATTTTCCAATATGAAACAAACTTTTTAAAAACTTTTCTATTTTCTCAAACAAATTTCCCTTTCCTTCTTCAGGCCAACTTTTTTGGAAACTCAAGATTTAAACATGGTAAATGGAGCTAAATTACCATGGGGAAAGTATGTATGGCAAGGCTGTTTCTGAAGCTCACAGTAAAGTTTTGTGATTGTGAGATGGACCCATGAAAAGGATCTGATACCAAAATGGTACTTCAACAGTGAAACTATCACTGCCCAAATCACTTTAAGGAGAATGCATGGATTCTCCCTAACAGCTACTTTGACCAACTTCAGACTCACAGTGTACCACTTCTGAACTCCTTTTACGTAGTCTGCATTATAGGTCAGCTTATCTAAAAATATCTGCAACCCCAAAAGTTTTTATGTCTTATAATTTAGATCTAATTTTCAGTATTGGAATTGATCATTAAAACAGTGAAAGAAACAGCACTCAGGTCCACTTTCCAGTCACCTGTCAGTGAGAGCAAACTGCATGTCAACATGTGCTGCAGAACACTAAGCCAAGATAGCACAACACACTATTAGCTCTCAAGGCTCAGACTTACATTCACTTGTCGTATATTATTCCCAATGCTCACAGACTATCTAGAAAGTAGGTCTTTAGAAAGTTAACATTTTAGTAAGAGCTCCCTCCCAAATCCCACTATGCTGTTCCATAATAGCCATAAAATCCCTCTCCTAAATTCATCCCATCCTCCCAACTACCTTAAAGATGCAACAGAGACTCTCAGTGAGAGTGAACTCTTACCCAAATGCCCCCTACTACCCTTCTTAGTTCCAATCCTGACCAAAGACTAACATTTGGGAATCAAGACAGGCAAGGGGCAAACCCCATTTTAGTGGCACAGATATACAAAGTAAACTCTGCTTTAACTTAGAAAAAGAAATTAATGTCACAGAATGTTTCCCTATAAAAGATCTGTAACAAAGTAATAATATCAATAAAATAGCTATTACTAAAGCAAAGCTTTCATCAATAAGCTTCAAGAACTTTGAAGGAGGAGAATGGCTTCACGAAATGGTAGTCCAGGTTCCCACAGTGTGGACACTGCTGGACATTGCTGTATTCGGAGAAGTACTGCATCCCGATCCTCACGTCGATCACGGGTTTGCCACAGTGCTTGCAGTTCAGGCGGGCCTGGGAGAGACAGATGCTGTCAGCCACAATACCTTCAGCTTCACACACCTGTCAAAGGCACCCCAACCAACAACATGCTAGGAACTGAGGGAGTTTGGAAACCCATCTCCTCTCCTACAAAACGGGCTAAAACAAAGCCTAAGACACAATGAAAATTCATTGCCATTAGTCTGGAAATTACTGACTCCAGTTTTCTTTCTGTCTGTAAGGTGCTGCTAGTCCTTTCCTACGAACGAAAAGATCTCCAAAAACTCTCCACCAAAGTTCCCTTAACAACAGGAACCATCTGAGACCTGATTTTAACAGAGTGGTTGAAGCTGGTACCCCCCCCACACATATACACCCCATTCAAACTTGCCTGTAACTTCCTGCAACATTGAGTTTATTTCAGAAGTTCATATACCCTTTTATTTCATTCCAAATGATGATATTCTGTTTTGGTGTAAAAATAAAATTGCCCTAAAATATTCAAGTAAAACTGGCAATCCAGGCAGAAGTGTTTGCTTATCCTGGGGCTTCTGGTACCCACCAGTACTCTGTATCTTCATTCATACACAGGTCTCTTGATACCAGAAGCAGTTTATGACTGAAGTGAACAACCAGGAGTTTTAAATAAAATGGTCTTGGCAGTTATATTCCTTCTAAAATTGTACTAACAAAAGATAATCTCAATTTGTCCTCAAAACCCTCCTGTGAGGATAGCTAGTAGTATCTGAATTTAGATGATGAAACTGGAGCACATAGTAATAAAGTACCATGCCCAAGACCACACAGTTAGAATTGGGAAGCAGAAAACAGAAGCCTGTCCCACACTGTAACATGAGAACAATTCCATTTTAACCACTACATCCTCCGGACAATTTAAAAGTGAGTAACCAAACTTCCCTCTTTAGCCAATTATTCCTTTCTTTCTTACTTTTTTTTTTGGGGGGGGGGGTCCGGTCATGGGGCCTGAACTCTGGGGGTGGGCGCTGTCCCTCAGCTCTTCAGCTCAAGGCGAACGTTCTACCACTTGAGCCACAGTGCCACTTCCGGCTTTTTTCTTTTTGCTTATGTGGTGTAGAGGAATCGAACCCAGGGCCTCATGCATGCAAGGCAAGCGCTCTACCACTGAGCCACCTTCCCAGCCCCCCAATTATTCCTTTCTGATAACCTATTTACTGCTTATTTTTAATTCAGATTTATTGAAAGATTTTCCTGTATTCCTTAGTTGTGTATAATTTGTATGGTGATGTCTAACACCTATATTTTCACAGTGATTATCAGCTGAATAAAAATAGCAATAAATAGAAATCAAACATGGTTCTTCATTTAGCTCAGAGGCCAGAAAACATGAGTTTGGGCTTACATTGCTTGAAGGAAGATTTCTTCCCTAGAACACAGTATGCACAGCTGGGTGCAAGAGGCTCACACCTGTAATCCCAGCTATTCAAGAGGCCAAGATTTCTGGATCACAGTTCGAAGTCATTTGGAGAAGGAAAGTCTATCTCTAATAAACTACTCAAAACAAACACCACCATCACCACCACCACAAGAACAACAAAACTCACAAGTAGAGCTATGGCTCAAGTGGTAAAGCTCTAGCCTTAAGCAAAATGAGAGTGCTCAGCCCGTAAGTTCAAAGCCCCAGGAGACATGTGCATGCACACACTAGACTGCTAAAAATATAACTGAATAGCCTGGCATTGGTGACTCACACCTGTAATCCTAGCTACTCAGGAGGCTGAGATCTGAGGATTGTGGTTCAAAACCAGCCTGGCAGGAAAGTCCATGAGACTTATCTCCATAAAACCACTCAGAAAACCAGAAGCGGTCCTGTGGCTCAAGTGGTAGAGCACTCTACTTGAGCTAAATAGCTCAGCAAAAGCGCCCAGGCCCAGAGTTCAAGCCCCGTGACCAACAACAACAACAAAAATAACTAAATAACTAATAAAGCATGTATCCAATGTTTGTAATAAAAACCAGGCTTGCATGATGAAAAGCAATGAGAAATTTCTCCCCTACCCACAAATACCAAAGAATAACAGATTCCTCCCCACCGCCAACCACTTGGAATAAAAACTAAGACATTTCCAAGAGTTTTTATCGCCTACATGTCTATGATCTTATTTAATGCTTTTATATGCTACTACTTCTGCCTTCTTTTGACAACTTCTGAATTTCAGATGCTCTCTTACCATCAGAAAATGCTTCTTAGTAGTGCTTTTAAGGACTATAAATCCTTCTCATAACTAAGTATACAATTCCTGGGTAACTATGCTATCCCGCAGAAAGGAAAGAGAAAATCCTAGAAAGTGAAACTTTCTCCTTTTCAAATCATAACCCTTTGTTATGATTTGGTGTCAGTTATTAGTACAAGATACCAACAAGCATAAATAAAGCTAAAGGAATAACTCAGCATCCCCTCACCCTTTCCACATTATTTGACCAACACCCTGAAGTGTTAGCAGGGCATTTTTCATGCTTAGTCACAAATGGAAGCCTAGAATAGCCATATTATAACTTTTTTTTGCTTAACAGAAAAAAAAAACTGCACACAAAATGATTTAACTGCACTCCTTTTAAGGGCTACATAGCATTCTGTCACAATGTAGTCACTTGGCTATTCCTGCTGTGAAAGAGTCTGTAGCCATCACAAACTCTGGGGGAAGTTTCCAACTGAACTTCTTCTTGCAGAAGCATCCCTTCCAAGTCCTCAAACCTCCCTAAAGCAACCACAATGTAGGCTCTAACACCTCTGCATTCACCCATGGACAGAATTACAGTATCCAACAGTGTTCCATCAGTGGAGCTGATACAAACCTGACAGCAGGGAGAGGCAGCCAGGATATCATAGGTGTACATGGTGCCCAGCTGGTGCCAGCTGCCATCCCACCGAGACTTACACTTGATGCAGATGATCTTGTGAACCCCTTCCAGGCAATCCACACACACTGCGTACAGATGCATGAGTCTCCCTGTACACAGAAGACACAAAACTGAGAATGACCATCATAGAAATCACATTTTGTCTCCAAAGGGGATTTAAAAATGCCTCATTTACCAATTATTAGCAAACACTTGATCATTTGGATGAATATAAAATAAAAATAAATGGTAATGTCTAGGACAAGCAGAAAAGGTCAAAAGCTATATACATATGACCATGCAAGATGATGCTAAGCAAAATGAACCCCAAGACACAAGAGGTTTTATCTTTCTTGTTGTTGTTTTTAATGTACTTATTGTACTGTGTGATTTTTTTGTTTCTTTTTTATGTTCTTCCCCTATGGTATAACCCCTGTTTTCACTGTATTTGATTCTGGTGCCCTGCATCTTGTATATACATTTTTCTAATTTGGGAAAGGGAAGGGAAGTAACAAAATGCTGAAATAAGGATAGAGGCTGACCCTCTGTAGCAATAAGATGTACAAGACACTGTGTTGAAAATGAACTTTATAACTTCAGGGCGGGAAGGGGGAAGGAGTTGGGGAAGTAGGGAAGGAAGGGATGGTAGGGGAAAAACAAAGGAGGGGGTAACTGCTCAATAGAAATGTACTCATTACCTTACTCATGTAACTGTAACCCCTCTGTGCAGTATCTTTACAATAAAAAATATATTTAAAAATGGTATTTACCACACATTCTCAAGCCGTGCTTTTAGAATAATGCACAACTATCGTCAACAGAATAGGTCATTTAAGTTCACACTTATTAAAATATATTCATTTTAGTTTAAAATTTGCTTCATTTTAGTTTAAAATATGTTACCAGGTTTACATCATTTGTCCATCCAAACTCAACTAACAAAGCCCCATGTGCTCAAAAACTAGCCTGTAATTACAACACAGGACTTTGATCAAACGTCTATGTGTGGCACAGCGTGACCCAGTCACACGTGTCATCGTGAGTGCTCACCCACAAGATTCATTATCAGAAAGTTGAGTCTGCCTTGTATTGATGGCCTAGAACTACGCTGCAGTAAAAATCATCATTAAGTGTCCTTGTCCCCAAAACTGCGCAGCTATTGCCATGTCTAATTTAGGAACCGGAATTACTTACTTCTAAGTGGTTTAAGTTTGATGTCTTTTCATTTATTTGGCTCTCAAAAGTCACAACTTCATCCCTTTGTTATTTATAAAGATCTCAATACTTATAAAGGAAAGGTGTCCCCATAATTTATATGGAATGATTAAGTGTTCAAAAAACAGGAGTTAGAATGCCTAGGATCTGCTTCTGCCTTGAAAACAGTTGCCAGAACACACACTCAGCAGTGGTTTCTTACTTAGAATAGGCTGCTTACTGCCTAGTAAGTCAGACTGCAGGTTTTCACCATTCTGTAGAAAGACACATAACAATCTTTTAAAGGAATCCTTTCATTGTATTTGTTCACATGATTCTCACTCTCCTTAATGCAGGAACTATGTTTTATTCATCCTTGTAAACTTAGTGGCCATCACAATGTCTAGAATGAGGTGAGTACACCTAAATGTATACCAGATAAATTGATGTATCAATATCCTAATATTCAAAGACATTAACCTTGGGAGCCTCTATGCCAAAATATAGAGAGTAACAGGAGGTTCTTGCAAAACCACCCATCTTTGTTCTAGGACACTGAAAGTAAGGTCTCACATGCTGTATCTACTCTGAGTGGCCTAGGGGCCTGTCAAGAAGTCAGTTCAAGCATTCATATGCTACTGAAAAACACCTCATTTCAGTCTCCCTCCCAGGTCTACACATTAAAGTTCACTGCATCCAGTAGTGCACAGGATGCTGCAGGCTGGGAAGACAAGGCCAGACACATAAGTCAGATGTTGATAATTGCCATGATGATGAAGACAATAAGCAACCTTTACCATGTATTTACCAAGGGTTTGAACTGTGCTGTAAGCACTGAGTCATTTCATTGCCCTCTTGTTGCAACAGTACAAAACAGGCCTTTCTTGCTACTTTGGACAAGAGGAACTGAGTGAAGTTCAGAGAGTGAGCAATTTGTTCAAGGTTCACATAGACACTAAGTAGCAAAGTCCAGGCATATTTAAGTCTATCTGTGTTCTTTACTTACAGGTAAATACCTAGGAAGGCTTGGGCCCAGACTAAGACTCTGGATTTGCTTTTAATTAGAATTATACACTGTCCTAAGAGAATAATGTATTTCTAAACCCTAGGACACAGTTTTGTTTGTGAGTTCAAACAAAAGCTGATTCCTAAGAGATTATCACATGTGATACTGAGTGGAAAGCCCAGAGAGACTGTTCCAATTAGACCAATCTTAATAAATCATTACAACCAAACAAAACATTTTTGAGTAGAAAATAGGGGCTAAAGGCTGTAGAGTGGGGTGTCAAAGGAAAAGGCAAGGGAATAATAATCTACAGGGTTTATTGTGAAAATAGCAAGTATTTCAACAACATATAATCAACTGTAAACTGTGGAATCCTGTGGCCTGGAATGTGGTTTTTCTATTGGAGATGAATAGTTTAGAGGATACAAAAGAAAGAAATGATTTATATAAGCTTGCTGTTGATCACAGAGACCTGTCTGAGATGCAACAATAAAAACCACTGTCTTGCCAGACACCAGATGTCCATGCTTGTAATCCTAGCTATTCAGGAGGCTGAGATCTGAGGATTGCAGTTTTGTAGCCAACTCACACAAGAAAATCCATAAGACTCTTATCTCCAATCAACCACAAAAACAAGAAGTGGAGCTGTGGCTCAAGTGGTAGAATGCTAGCCTTGAACACAAAATCTCAGAGATAGCACCCATACCCTGAGTTCAAGCCCCAGGAAATACACTGCCTACTTAGCAAGTATGAAGCCAAGTTGAAACACCAGTACCTCAAAAAAAATGTAAAAGGTAATGTTCAATACTTTAAATTTCCATTCATAAAACACCTTGAAAAGCTCTTTACTATAGCCTGAAAGGATCCCACGATCCTCTTCCTACCATGTCTACTCATTTCCCAATGAAGAACATCTCTAACCAAATGGTTCCCTCCATACCTCCTATCATGACCTGTCTTTTTTCCTTTAACCACCATTCCTTTGCTCCCACTGCACAATCCATTAACAAAAAAATACCTGTTTGTGGCCAGACTCTGCTTTTCAAACCCAGACCACCTCTTAACATCTGCCTTCCCATTTCCACCTAAGACTAACAAGCGTATACAGCCCTTTTTTCCTTGAAAATTTCACAATGTTTCAATTAATACGTACATGCTACTAATTCTACATGTGGTGTTATATGCAGCCTTTGGTCTGGCAAAATTAGCTACATTTTATAAAAGCATCTTATGTCCTGAGATAATATACTTATGACAGAAGTAAAAACTGGTATTACTCAACACCTATACAAAATCCTTAAGTTTGATTGACTGATAAATGGATTGCATCAAAAGAATTTGTCCATCATAAATAGGAAACTACAACTCTCACATATACTAGTCTATGTATCATCAATTTGTCTTCACAAAGAATGGTCAAGTTTTTAAATAGTGTTTTCACCCATTTCCCTCTAACACTACCAGCAAACAGGATAAAGAATAGGGAAAAATAACCCCCACAAACTCAACCTTCAATGAGGTACCTGGAACCCTCTATTCATTAACCAGTGTGTGTCCCTACCTTGCCTACCCTTCATGATATATATAAACAAGCCTCATATACTATTGGGAAGATATTATTATAATAGTCCTTATGGAAAACAGTATTAGGTAATATACAATATTAGGTAATATACCTAACATTTGATACTTCGTGTAAAGCATTAAAATCAGAATTATCTTATCACATTACTGGATATGCAGCTAAATGAAATGAAATCAGTATGTCAAAGAGATATCTGCACTCCCATTTTCATTGAGTTATTCACAGTAGCCAAAACATGGATTCAACCTAAGTGTCCATCAACAGATTTAAGAAAACATGGTTCGTTTACAATAAAATACTATTCAGACATAAAATGATGAAGTTCTGTCATTTGTGGCAACATGATGGAACTGAAGTACATTATGTGAAGTGAGAAAAGCAAGGCACAGTAAGACAAGTATCACAGAACGTCACTCAGCTGTGGAGTTCTTGTTATACAAAAACCTCTATACATCTCACAGCTGTGTAGAGAAGAATTTGGTTAGCTAAGGGTGGGAAGGGTAAAGGGGTGAGGTGAAGAGATTAATGGGTAAAAATATCAGATAGGATGAACAAGTTCTTGTATGCTCTTGAACATTAAATAACTATAGCTAACAATATTGTATTTTTCAAAATAACTAGAAAAGAAGATTTGAATGTTCTTGCCTCAAGAAATAATAAGAGGGGCTGGGGGTTTAGCCCAGAGGAAGGGCGCCCGCCAGGCAAGCGCAAGGCCCTGGGGTTGGGTCCTCAGCCCTGGGGGGGGGGGAGCTACAAAAGAAATAATAAGACTGTGAGATAACTGAGACCCTAAATATCCTGATCTGTTCATTATACAGTGTATGTATATGTCAAAACATTACATTGTACCCCTTAAGAGATGTATGATCATTCTGTATCAATTAATAAAAAATCTTTAAAAGCCCAAAATAGCCTGCTGGAAGATGAAACACTACAAAGACCACAGATGACTCATCCCGCCTGAGGCCCAATGCTCCTTAGTCTGTAAACAGTGAGAGGAGTCTGAGAGGCCAAGCTAACCACCAAGACAAAGAACTTAAAGAAATCCCTAAATAATCTCTTTTCAATTGCTAACTTTCAGAGTAATCTGCTTTGTAACAAAGACTAACTGACATAAGGAGTTAGGTAGCACTCTCAAAAAACCAAGAAACAATATAAAAAACCTATTCCCTTCAGCTTCAGCTCAGAAAGACAACAGACATTACCTCCAATAATAAGGGTGTTATTTAAGAGTTCTTGAAATTTAAAAATACAAAAACAGAAGCCAATGAAATCTTCCAGAAAGCATAATATAGATACAGACAACACACTTGGAAGGGGGGGAAAAAAAGGATTCCCCCTTCCATCAAAAAAACAACAACAACAACAAAAAAACCAAACAAACAAAATCAGCCAGGCGTTGGTGGCTTATGCCTATAACCCTAGCTACTCAGATCTGAAGGAGGTTCAAACCCAGCCCAGGCAGAAAAATCTGTGAGATCTTATCTCCAATTAAGTACTACAACAGTCTGAAGTAGAGCTGTGGCTCAAGTAGTAAAACACTAGCCTTTGAGGGAAACAAGCAAACAAACTTGGGGACAGCCCAAGCCTGAGTTCAAGCCCCAGGAGAGGTACCAAAACTAAAATAATAGTAATCATATTCATCATCATCATCTAAGAGATTGGATATTTTATTAATATGAGTTGTTTTTTAAAAGTATAAATAAAAGGAGAAAATTATCAAAGAAATATAAAAGAAAATGTCGCCAAAGTCAAGATCCTAAGATTTTGGAGTGAAGACACTAAGACAGTATAGAGCATAGTGAGTAGAGGGGAGGTAGAAGGAAAGGACAGTATTTTGGTGGGGATTTTAGAATACCAGAGATATAGAGAAAAATTAGCTGAGCATGGCAGTGCAACACCTGTAATTTCAGCACTTGGGAGTAAGAGAAAGGACCACTATAAATTCAAGGCCAACCTGGGCTACCAGGCAAGTTCCAGGCCGGACTCAGCTACACAGTAAAACTCCTATCTCAAAACATACCCAAGAGAAAGAGAAGCAAAGAAAGAGAAAAAGGAGAGATAAATTAAACCTTCAAGGAGGAAGGAAATAAGGAGAGGAATAAAAAGTTGGAGAACAGCAAACAAAGTCTTGCAGACTCTTCTGAATAAAGTGGCCTCTTCTGCCACAAATGTGATCCTCTAGATGACAGTCTTTTGAGTAGCTAAGATTACAAGCATGAGGCACTGGCACCTGGCAAGAAATTCCAGTTATCTTTGAATTTACTGTCTCTATAATAGGAAATATACCCATATGTCTTGTTTCAACACTAAAAACATTAAGGATTTAACTAATCATTATAATATACAGAAAGGAGGATATGTAGTCATCTCATGTTGAAAACAAGTCCACAGATAACATCTAAAATTGGAGAATAAAGATAACAGGGAGTGACAGGGAGAAAGCAGTCAAAACTCATTGTATATACCCTAAAAGAAAGGGGAAGGGTGAGTCAAAGGGGGGTGAGAATGAGCACAGGATGTCACTGACTGAGATGCACTGTATTCATAAACTGCTTTGTTAAATGATACCTCCTTTGTATAAGTACTTAAGATGGTAAGAAATAGAATATCAAACTTCAAAAAAAAAGAAAAATCATTATTTATCCCTGGGGTTGGAGACCTAGGGTTTTATTTGGAAGGTCGGTCATAGAGCTTGAACTATTTTGCTCAAGGCGAACATGCTACTACTTTGAGCCACAATGCCACTTCCAGTTTTCTGTTGGTTAACTGGAAAGAAGAGTCTCATGGACTTTCCTGTCCAGGCCGCGTTTGAACCTCAGTACTCAGATTTTGGACTCCTGAGTAGCTAGAGTAGCTAGAATTACAGGTATAAGCCACCTGCACCAGGATTATTTTTCTTAGCATACATTTAAAGTCATGAATATATTATACATGATGCATTTCATCTTTGTGGAAATTCAGTAGTTTCATAAGAATAGACATAGTTCACATTTGTACTAACCCTATCATTAGACTTACAACTGAAACGTGCTCAAGTTTCCCCAATGCTCTAAGCCAAGATAACTCCTGAATTGTTTAGGGTTTTTTGGCTTTTTGGTTTTTTGTGGGACAGGTTGTTTTATTGCTTCCTGGACTCTGAATTTTCTAAGGTCGTCCCCCAAAGACAAAGAAGAATAATGAATGATGGACACTAGCAAGCTGGTGAGAAAAGAGACTTTCCAGTAGAGTAATTTTCTTAGAATCACAAACCTGTTTCATGTTCTCTATCCATCTGTATTCTGGCTAATACATACATCTAAGCCCCGTTTCTGTTCAGTGGAATTCTTATCCAGAATTAGAATCTTTACATAAACTATCAATTTTAACTCCTGAGTTTTTAATAATCCTCCATTTTCCTTTTGATGTTACCCATATAATTTCATCTTTCATAATTTCAAAATTAGCTCAACTAATCTGAAAACACATTGTCCCTTCTTTCCCCACTTTCCCTCATTGCTGGGTATACATAGATCAAAGCTTTCCAGGTTATTAAATTGGGATTCAAAAGGAACTATTTTATAGCAAGGAGAATAATGTAATTTCTTCTCCAAATGTCTTCCCAATTATGAAGAACTATAGACCAGTACTTCTTTCTTCAAATCAAAGTAGAACGAGAACATAAAATTACCCAGGAGGCTAATTGCACTTGGTACAGTGACTGCAGTGTACCAAAACCACCACCACTTCCTCCCTGGGTGAAGCTGAAATACTTACATTACCTACCACATGACTAGAACAAAAGTATAACATCAGTTAAACTAAACCCAAACAGAGCAATTCCATCTTATTTGCTTTGGGGTTTTAACAAACAGAAAGTAGGCAAGGTGAACCAACACCTCTACCTTGAAGGTGACAAGGAACATCATATTCGATCTCATCATGTCTCGAGGGGCTTAAGAACAGAGTTCCATCCACCAGTGGGAACTGTTCAAATACAGGCAGTGTCCGGTGGCACAGAGCACAGTTTACAACGTTTCTGTGGCTGGCACTGAGGGCCGTGAGGATGAACTTCCGCAGATCCTCTCCCTGGCCTACTTGAGCATCATCTTCCATCCGCACGTGGAAAGTGTTCAGCTTATGCCTGGGGATATGAGTGAGGAGCTCAGAGAGGTCCAGCCGCCGCAGAAACTGTACAGGAGTGTCAAAATGTCCTCCCCTGTGAACAGATAACCCAGCTGGACTGTAATCAAAGTGGGCATTTCTGAACACATGACCCCCAGCCATGGCCCTTTTGTGAGGCTCAAGGTGGATGGCATTTTTTAAGAATTCTCCAAGGTATCTGGAGGAACGAGGACCACTGAAGTGGGCAGGAGAAAGGATGGAGTAGCCAGTCGGGGGTGACTGGCCAGGGGAGCCACAAGGGGAACGGGCACCATAGGCTGCAGCACTGACTGCCTTCTCCTGGGAGTTCTGCCGGTCCATAGAATGCCGACGGGGGAGGTCATGGTTCAGGCCTTTCTGGGGCTTGTTCGGGGGTCTGCACTTTTTTGCCTCCTCTCCAGCCTCCCCTGGGGGCCTCCCCGTGTTCTTCTCCAACCCAGACTTCTTCTTTTTCTCATCCTGCATCCGCTTCACCTGGTACCAGTCTGTGTCTTTCTTTAAGTGGCCCTGCCCACAGCGGCAGGAGCAGAAGCGGAAAGCCAGGTCGTAGCCCTTCTTGGTCCACATGTTCTGGCGGCACTGCTTCTCATTCCAGCTGCGGGCGCGGCCGATGCAGTTGAACTGGGCCAGGATGCTGCTCTCCCACTCATAGAAACACTGCAAGTGCATCCAGGTGCTGTAAGGACAGTGCTCGTTGTTGCACACCACCTTCTGGTAGTCGTCCTTCTCCAGGTCCACAGGCCTCCCAAAGCTGCAGATCAGGGGCGTGGCACAGGGGGCTTCTGGGAGAGACACAAAAAGAAACAGAGAGATTCAGTGCACAGGACTCCACAACTCCAGTGGACACCAATCCAGAAAGCAATTCTGCCATCTGCTTTAGTCCACTCATGCCAAAGGTACACCACAACTGGAGCAAACACCACACAAATTTAGAAAGATGTTGCGGTGCCACAGAAACATGTTTTCTGATATTTGTTATCTGCTGAAAAACATATCTGAATCCTTCACATTGCAGTTGTGTGTCAGTACTTGAGACCGCATGGGGTGAGGTTTTTCTAAGATGTGGGTGCAATGAGAGGCACCCAGAGTTTCTTGATTCCTCCAGGGAATCAAGATTTAATATGAAGCTATTTAACCAATCAGTTCTGGTGGCCTCTCCAAAAGAGCTCTGGAAGCACTTTATCACCAGCTTTAAGCTGTCGTGAATACTAGACAAAAACTAGAAAACAGATCAGCCTCAGCACTAATTGTCTCCCAGAGTGGTCGGATGACCTAATGACAGAGATATCTGGTCAAATTAATTGTTGGTCTACATAGAATTCCATTGCTGAGTTGTGAAGAAAAAATAAATTTCTCTCAAATTTCTAGGATAGAAAGCAAGAATAATGACAATTCTATACTATCTCAAGCACATGTCTACATACAAGTGCCAAACAGCCAGGTAAGTGCCCAGAAATAAAGAAAATATGAGGCACAAAGCAGATCATGATGCTTCAGAAGTTAACATGATGAATGAAGACTCACCTCCACTGAATTTCTCTAACTGCTCAAGGATAACTAACATTTGACTTTGAACTTTTTTTATATTTTTAGTTTTAAGTATCAAAAAGCATGTGATGATGCCGGGTACCAGTGGCTCACACCTGTAATCCTAAACTACTCAAAAGGAGATCTGAGGATCACGGTTCAAAGCCAGCCCAGGCAAGAAAATCTGTGAGACTCTTATCTCCAATTAACCACCAGAAAACTGGATGTGGGGCTGTGGCTCAAAGTAGTAGAGTGCCACCCTTGAGCTGAAGAGCCCAGGGACAGTGCCTAGGCCTAGAGTTCAACCAACAACAACAACAACAACAAAAAAAAAAAAAGCACATGATAGAGACAAGAAAACAGAGCAGGTTACCAGGAAGAAAGAGAGAGGGACAAACCAGTACAGCATAGAGAATTTTTAGGGCCATGAAGCTGATCTGTGTGATATAATAATGGTAAGCATATTTGTCAAAATCCACAAAATGTACAATTACCAATAATGAACTTTAGTTTTAATTACAGAATTAGGTAATAACATATCAGTATATAGACCCATTGATTCTAATACATGTAAATACATACACACTAAAAAATGTTGACAGTAGGGGAAATTTTGAATGTGTGGGAGTAGACAGCACATGGGAACTTTAAATTTTGTCAAGCAAAACCTACTAGTATTCTAAAAAATAAAATCTATTTTTTTAATGAGGGGGGAAAATAAGTTTAAGTTCAGGTTTCATTAGAAGACTAGCTGTGCAAACCATACTGGTTCTGTTATTTCATTTTGAACTTCTCAACTATAGTTGTAATTATAGTGTCTACCTTATAGAGATTTTGGTGAGGTTTAAGTAAGTCCTTTTAAAGAATTTAGCACTGGACCTGGCATACAGGCTTTACTAATGTTATTGTTCTCATTAGCTGAATCTTCACAATACAGCTTAAGATATTTTCATTTGTAGAAGGTGCCAAAGTTCTAAACCAGAGATGGAAAATTGGCCAAAAGTAGGTCCAAACTAAGAAACAAGGAGCCTGGCAGTACAAGGAGAATGGAGAAGATTCCAGCTATGATGAGAAAGGAGACTTAATACCACAGGCCCAGGAAGAGAAGGCCAGCACAAAGAACAAGCAACCAACAGGTGTCCCCAGCTGGCATTCCCTGCATGGCCACAATTTCCAATCCAGGTCATCACTCCCCTTCAGTTCCTCCCCACACTTCTGTGCACTACCGTCCCCTTTCGCCTACCACTCCCAAAATAAGCATTTCCTGGACCAGCATTTCTTTTCACTTCTGTAGGTAGAAACTAAAAATTACGGTTTTCACTCCTTTACTCTTCATGTAGTGCAACTGGCCAGTGCATTACAAGAAGTTAGCATCACTAGACTCTGAACACTTAATATGTGCAATCCCCACCCACACTACCTACTCCCCCACCCCACCCCCAGCCCTACTTTCCCAGGACAACCCAAAGTCCATAACACTTTCAAAGGGCTCCTCTGAATACTGCTCCTCACTGGGAATTACTGGGCTTGGTCACAAAGGTTCCATGTGCTACGTGCAGAAACACAGATGACATCTGCAGTATGTGAGACATCAAGGGAGGACTCACAGCCTCAGGGCTGTTTTGATGACTGTCAGAGCATGAAATACATCAGGACTGAAACAGGAGGGGCAGGTATGGACAAAAGACAACTTTTGAGCTGATGCCAGGTGGCTCACATCAGTAATCCTATCTACTCAACAGGCTGAGATCTGATGTTTGAGGTTCAAAGCCAGTTGGGCAAGAAAGTCCACAAGAATCTTACCTCTAACTACCAAAAAAAAAAAACCCCAAAGTCAAAGTAGAGCCATAGCTCAAGTGGTAAAAGCACTAGTCTCGAGCAAACAAAGCTAAGGGACAGCAGCACTCAGGCCCTGAGTTCAAGCCCCAGAACAGATACCACAAAACAAACAAACAAAAACAAAGACAGCTTTTGGCTGCCCTTGCTTGACCTACTGAGGAGGGAAGTGCTCATGTAACACCAATATGGAGAAAGACATGAACATGACAGAAGCTCAAAAATGAAGATGTAGAATCAGACACCCTGACACACAAGATATACCATTGGAATCCAAGAGATACCCAAGGGGACCATGGGCAGGAGCAGAAATAAGAAATGAGAGACTGGGAAAAGAATCCTGAGCAGCAAGAGTTGGCATCACAACTGGAGTACGAAAGTCCTTCATAGAGACTGCAAAGGGAGGAACTAAGAATTCACTGGCAAGTCAAGAGAGAACTTTGTGAAGTCAGTAAGGGAAAAGTTCTAAGAATGGAAACCTATAATGTCCCACAGTACCAGGTAAAAGATTTCTCAACCTCCTCAATATCAACATTTTGAGGGCTAGTAATTCTCACTGTGGAAGCTATCCTATGTTTCATAAGACCTTTAAAAGCGCATCCCTGTCTTCTACTATAGGTGCCAGTAGTTCTGCCTCCCTCATCTTTTATACCTAAGATGTCTCCAGACATTGCCAGATACCTCCTAAGGGGAGTTGAGTACCATTAGATAAAATAAGCCTGAAAAGCCCATGCAGAATGAGCAGTGGAGAGGCACTGTCTCATCATGAGGAAGTTCTGGCAGCAGGATGAGGAGAGAAGTTGGGAGGCCAACAGTAAGGAACAAGTAGCAAGATGAAAAGGTAGAAAATGGACGGATGACTGCCCAGAAAACTATTTCCAGAAGTGTAACCTTGAAGTGAAGAAAACAAAATAGGCAAAGGACAGAAGACAGCAAAAGCTGAGACCTCTGCAGGCTCAAAAATGGGGGAAAGAAATGCTACAATCGCAGGAAGAAAGGGAACAACCAATATAGCTTGCCTATTCAAAAATGTTCATGACTTCACTGCTGCCTACCAAATAACCATTACAACATCCCACCAAATGCATCACCACAGATGGTGGGACTTTTTAAAGCCTGTGAAAATATTAGCCATGACTACTGTGAGTTAAAATTATCTCTTTTAGTATGGGATTCCAGAACCTTGGTAAAATATCACTAAACCAATTTGTGTGCCTCTGTGTATCCAATCACTGTGGCTTCCTGATCTACCTGCAGAAGTCCATAACCCTTGATCTTCATTTGTCCTTGATCCTTCATTTTGTCCAAGACAGAAATTTATAGTATTAACTGCAACAGGACTGCTTATATATCAGTTCCAGTATCATTTATGAACTATATTCCCTGGGATAATTACTCCCTTTCATGTCAAGTTTTGTTTTGTTTTTTGTTGGTCATGGGGCTTGAACTCTGGGCCTGGACACTGTCCCTCAGCTCTTCAGCTTGAGGTGACCACTCTACCACTTGAGCCACAGCGCCACTTCCAGTTGTTTTTGTTTTTGTTTTTTTTTCCTAGTGGTTTATTGGAGATAAGAGTCTCGCAGACTTTCCTGCCTGGGCTGGCATTGAACCTCTACCCTCAGATCTCAGCCTCCTGAATAGCTAGGATTACAGGCATGAGCCACCGGCACCCAGCTTCATATCAAGTTTTTATGTATAAAATGTAGGTAGTAGAACATACCTTACATGGTTGTTATCAGGCTAGGTGGGAAAACCCACTCAGGAAGCTGAGATCAGAAGATCAAGGTTCAAAGCCAGCTTGGTCAGGAAAAGTCCATGAGACTCTATATCCCCAACTAACTAACAAAAATGTGGAAGTGGAGCTGTAGTTCAAGTGGTAGAGCACCATTCTTGAATAAGAAATCTAAAGGAGGGCTGGGAAGGTGGCTCCGTGGTACAGCGCATGCCTTGCATGCCAGAGGCCCTGGGTTCAATTCCTCAGCACCACATAAGCAAAAAGAAAAAAGCCAGAAGTGGCACTGTGGCTCAAGAGCTGAGGGACAGAGCCCAGGCCCAGAGTTCAGGCCCCATGACCGGACCAAAAAAAAAAAAAAAAGAAAGAAATCTAAAGGAAAGCCGGGCATGGATGGCTCACACCTATAATCCTACCTACTCAGGGGGCTAAGATCTGAGAATATCAGTTCAAAGCTATCCAGGCAGAAGAACCCCTGTGATACTCATATCTCCAATTAACCACCAGAAAACTGAAAGTGGTGCTGTGGCTGTAGAGTGCTAGCCTTGAGCAAAAAGAGGCCTTGAGTTCAAGCACCATGACCACCACCAACAATGACAACAAAAAAGAAATCTAAAGGAGAGAAACCAGGTCCTGAGCTCAAGCTCTAGTATCAACACAAACAACATACCATATACACAAA